AAGACAAGTTGTATGCAATAACTCTCCAGTCGAGGCTTATTTCGATCTGTACGTTTCACAGGAAAGACAAAGGTGTAGTTTTCATGGTACCATAAGACTGGATCAAGAACCAATTGTATACGTATAATGTACATCTGTTAAATGGGAGATAGCACAGCTTTCCACATAGCCAGATAGCCACAAATAATTTTATAATCATTATATATAGAAAAAGTAAAAAAGCTTAGGTGCATCCTAAATGAAGCAGATCTCTTGAAACCAATATTTCATGCATAAGACACAATTAGATGCGTGTTTTGTTTTTAATACCATGATTCATTTGTGTCTAATCAATTCTCAACCTCAAAATCAGCTCTGAATATTCTCAGATAACTCTGTGTGGTCAATTAATATTGGCCCTCACACCCCTTTAATAAAATTTACCACTTAGAAATACAACGCACTATTTCTAAAAAAAAAAAACAACTCTTACTACAGAGCTTTATAAATGAAAAACCCCACGCACGGAAGCGAACAAGGAGACTCTGCAGTGATGGACACACATATCGTCTGAATAAGAGCGCACTTTCACATTATGCAAATTTTAGGATCTACACCTTTAATGCATATCTGTGTCAACAGCTTTGATACCTCACGATACAAAAGTAATTAAAATAGATTGACAAAGCTCGTCATGCCAACATTAATATCTGGGTGGCCTTGGACCATCAGTTCAACTGAAGAATGGCGCTTCTCCTGTGCCTGTCACTCCATGTTGTCGTGTCATTTTCAAAGAGTGCTCAGCCTGCACTTAGCAATGTGCTTAGCATTTTCGGCAATCTCGTCTGATAGGCCGCGCTGCTACTAGCGAAGGGGACCTCTCACTTGGGCACGCCTTTTTTGCCTGCGATCTGCAGCTCATTGCGTATACGACGCAAGTTGTCGTTTCTTGGTCTACATAAAGCTGGACCCTGGCATCCATGTTCTAAGTAGATGCTGGCCATACCTGCGCATATTACACCAGCATCTAGACTTCGCAGAAGGTCAACGATAGTTTCTAGCAAAGTTGTCAAATTTCTCGTTCTGTTCTTAGGTTTGTAAATCCGGATAGGGCCACGTACACATAGGCAGTACATATAATCGTTTGTAATCGGCAGTTGTCCAACCAATGCTACAACAACAGATCCCTCCCACTGTGACTGCGGCTGTTTTTACTACTGGTTGTACAACTAGTACTATTTCCCTTAGTGATCCTTTCTCACTAGTGTCGTTCTAATTGTTGCAGATTCCCTCTAGAACAGAGACTCAACGAGCCTTGTTTGTCCTTGTTCTTTCGTCGTGGCACCACGCCCATTATCCCTGTTATTTTCCTTCGTTCTGGCGGCTAAGGCTCAAACAGGCTAATTAGCGAAACAACGTTGGTACGGGAGGGAGGCGAACATTAGGTAGACAGGAAGACTCCTGAAGGACGACGCCCTATTAGACTATCGCCAGGATCGTTGTCACTGTAGGATACTGAGTACCAGCGGTGGATATATTATAGCCATCGTAAGGCACAAGGACAAAGGCAAACTGAAGCAGCAGCTGCTTCAGGTCGAGAGGCTTAGCTAAGTCCCTTTATAGATCTGATGTAATGCCCTTGTCGACAGTGAATAGCCCCGGTCAATGGGGTCGACAAAGCGCAACAAAGGTAACAACGATTAAATATTTTAGTCGAGTACTATACTAATTATAATTACATGAATACTTGATAGGCTTAAAGGTAAACTTTCAGTGAAAGTTCTCATTTTGATACTGACAGCCAAACCGCGCATTCCTACTTCTCTCTCGCTGGTATCTTCAGCAGTCATGCCATTTCAATACTAAATATACCATTGTCTTTAGTAAATCTTACCTTTTTCAAGGTTAAACTTGCTTTTCTTAAGGCAAAGTCGTTATCGACGGAATTTTATGGGTAGCGTTTCTAGATGTTCTCAGCCTTTTTGGCTTCCCGCTTTTTGCCTTTTATATTGTAAGTCGGAAGGATTGAGAAAAGATGTTATATTCCACGTGTCCGGTCCTTCGATGCTGTCTGCGTGTATTTCCGTTCTGATCTGCATCGCATTTTGTTTGTGGCTGGTCTGAGTCTCACTTCTGCTTTGTGTCCGAATTCAGGCTTCTCATTCTTGTTACTTGCGATCCTTTAGAAGTGCAAATCTATTTCCCAGTCCACTTAACATACTTTCTAGTCCTATTTCTTTACCTTGGATATCGTATGTACGACTTGGCAAATTCATTGTAATGATGGAATAGATCGTTTCATATGCCTGCAAAAAAGAACTGGTTTTATCATGACAAACAAAGCCTCTGAAACTAGACGCTAACTTAAATATTCAGAACGCTAAAAATCTATGATATACAATAGTGCTTTACGACGTGGAAAAGTTCTCGTTTTGAATCTAGCACAAAACCAGCAATCAGTTATTTACCTGACTATCAGATCGCCTTAGAATAAAAGGAAAAGCCCCTGCGTTATTCATCTCTAGCATCTGCTATTTCCAGACTAGCTAACAATCTCCTGTACCTAAAACAAACTATACCAAGAAAATGGTCAACGTCCTCCATAGTTTTACTCGCAGTGTGATATCCTGTTAAAAGTTTTAATAGATTTAAATAAAAGCAAACTAAAGAAAACTTATAAACAAAGTTACTTACATAATGTTATATAAATTGATCATGATTAAATTCTATTTTTTACGATCAATGTTCCTCCATGACTACTACACAACTTTATTCAAATGAAATTGAACCTTCCGTCTATAACATCGATTACTTTTAATGGATCCTGTGACATTCCAATACTGCACACATTCTTGTAGTACCCTTTCTATATTAGCTCAGAAATAGTGTGTGAAACCCACATTTTATGTAACTTGTACACAGTTATAAACTTACAGACAGTGCCTGCTGCGCCTATTTTAACTATTAGATAATTAGCCCGCCCCCACGAAACGGGCGGTGTCCTATTTACATTTAGCAAGAACCGAATTACTCACACGGCAGGCCTCTCATATGGTTGGGAAAGCAATATTTTCTAGGAGGTTTGTGCAACACGATACCACATATTTAGTCTCTCATAAGAAGCCCAAAGCAGAGAGTTACGTCAATTAACAGATACAGTATATTGCTTTAGAGGAAGCCTATTTTAGTGTGGAATTAATTCAAACTTTACACTGTTGTAAATAGAAGTGAATTTTCCTTTAGCTTCACACGAAACCTGCCTTTTCTCGGAGCTAATAGTCAATTCACAATAAGAACATTTCTAGGATCAACAGGTAAATCCGCTTGCCTAACAAACCCTGTTCCCATAGGAGTATTTTTGCCTACATAGTGTAGCTACAAAACCCAAAGTAGCGACTACATAATCGACCAGTCGCTCAAATTTTTCATACAAAGCACCATGCGGCATAGAACACATGCGTGTAAACGCATTAGCTTTTGAGAAGTTGACTTCGTATAACATTTGCCTATTATTACTTACCGATTATCCTCGAAGTACGTACTATAAATAGTAATAATAGGGTAACAGCAGCAGCGGTCATAGTAGCAGAAGCAGCGGTTATTCAACTGCTGCAGTAATCAGCGAGAAGAAGATAAATGTAGCTCTCTTCGTTTGTATTGCTTCCTCTTCGTTCTGCTTTGCCACCACCTGCACTTTATAGCTTGGGTCTTGCGCCATGTTTATTTTGGCCACTCCAGAAGTAAAGCATAACGAACTGACAAGCAGACGGATCAGTAGGTTCTTTAACTGTCGTCTGACCAGGTCTAGACCGTACACATCCCCTGGGCGTCGTTCCGCAAACACTCTTAAACAAAAATGGATGGATGTGCGTTTACCTCACCTAAGAGCGACCAGCTGAACCAAAGAGTGGGGTCACTAAGGGATACGATGCTGCTGTAGTTAGTCGACGAGCTGCCATTGTACAAAAGGGTTCATACAGCAGATACCAGATAACAGTGATCACCCTATGGGGGGCAGCGTATGCCATGTTGGTAAGGCTTGGCTTCTATTCGCCTCTGCAGAACTATGCTAAACATTGGATCTTATCCCTTTTCCAGCTAGCCAGGCAATGAGCATAAACCGATAAAAGCAAAATGTATCTTCTTTACCTCATGAGCAGTCTTTCGAGGTTTGTAATAGAGTACCAAGTTATCGGTGTAGAGTAGCTGGTAATCAAAAAGGTATGTGTCAAGTGTCTAAAAAGGTAAGTGTTGAGCCGAAGCTATCTAAAGAACTTTTAAACCGTATAGATTAAGACACCTATTTTTTAGACAGACTTGTTCCGGGGCCCCTTAATAAGTACGAACTAGTGATTGATGTTACTACACAAGATCTAATTACCCATGACTTATTGAGAGAGCCGAAATTATACAACAAATTACCTTTATACTTAGGTTAAACATCTGAACCTTTTCGACAACGATGTACCTCAAGCGGGTTTTTTCTTTATAACAACTGCACAATTCTCTTTGGAGTACACCGCTTGAATTTCAGTCTGCCCTAGATTCAGTTTATAGAAAACCTATTATTTGCTTTCTAATCTTCAGTGTTTTCGTTAAGAGTTCATATCGCCGCTTTGACGCGTGCATACTGAGCCGACTGGGAGCGCATCATCCAGCGACCTCACTTTGGATGAAAATAAATGTAATCACTACGCATAGCTTTGCAACGCTAAAATATATTTTTGTCTCTTTTTGCAGTATTTTCTCACGAACTCAATATTAATTATAATTGTAGATAAAAAAAATCAGGCATCGGTTTTAAAGTTATTTAATTTATCAAAATAAAAAATTATTTGGACTCGCTAAATGGCCCTAGACAAACGGATAATTGGATCCGTATGCATGCTATCATTAATGCAATGTTATTTATTATTATTAGATGTTAGTCTGTGTCCTTACGCTTATTTAGGTGCCTTATCCTAAATTCGTTTTATTTTACCTAAGGTAGAAAGGCCGCATGTGCTAGCTCTTACATTTAATAGACATCCGGCCTTGTCCACGTCGGAGTATACAAAAGGTGGGAAAACGAGCGTACTAGCCATCATCTTGAAGGAGACACTTCGTCCGGCTGTAATCTTAATTTGACGCTAAATGTTAATACTGAATTTATATATTCGTATAGCGTTTTTAACGTCTTAATGTCGGCGATACAATTCGCTCAGCATAGAAGGAAGGAGTTTACTAATATAGACCATTTATTCTACTTGGCAGATACGTAAATAGGTAAAAAGGACTAGATGTATTGGCCTGCTTTGCAGCCAAAACCGAGTAAAGTGCGAAAAATGGCAATTCACCGCTGTTTCACTTCACTACTACTGTGCACGTCCTCGTCGCCAGCGTTCACGTTTACGTGCTGTACGTGCTGAAATGATAGCAACGCAAGCGATCTTCTAGTATCTAAGCTAGTCATATTAGGTTCATTGGTAATGATTAGTTGATTGATATCTTCTTCTGGTAGTATAGCTTGCATGCTTTGCATATACGCTTCGTTTTCAGTTCAGTTAGATAGCTGTCAACGATATACAAACATGCAAATATACATATAACAGCTATGCCCGGGCTATGAACAGATTGTATAAAGTTTCTAATACTATATTAATATTTTTTTGTAAAAACAACCTTACAGTACGACGATGTATTTTCGTCATCGTACCGGAATACACCTAACGTATAATTCCCAGTGAATATACATAGAGGCATTGTTCCTCATGGTATCTATAGTAGGACTATAGAATTTGTACAAACCCGTCTCAGCAGGTAGTAGGTGATGAAAGTCAGGGACTATGAATAATATAGACGATCTACTTTCGTTTGTTCCACGTTGATCCAAAGAAGCGATCGTTATAAATTTGCGTCCTTGTTGGTGAAATCCAGCAACGCGAGGGAAACTAAAACACATTCAAGTTACTCAGAGACAAGCTATGTGCCGGCCGAAAGGTACGTTAGCCTATTTGGTACTGAGAAGTGATATTCTAACGAGCTTTTTCAAGCCGAAGCGTTCATTCGATTCTTTTGCTTGAGGTTTCGTACGGCCAAGCCTGCCATATTACGTCGATACCATGTGCTGCTTTTAGAGTCGCTCCAAGCTGCCACCCTGTCTGCTCATCTGCACTTCAACAAGGCTCCTAGAAATACGAATTCTCTCAGTACATCTCTCGACAGTAGGAAAGAGAAGGTCTTAAACTTTCTCTTTAAGACAGCTCAATGGCTTGAAGTTCGCCCAAACCATTGCACTCAATCTCGAAACTCCACTGTCGTTGACGGCCTTGTTGTCTCGCGGAGCCGTTGTTATCTGACTGAGCACAATAGTATGTCTGGTACAGTCATGTAGGGACCTCTACCTTTGCGAGCGTTATAAACACAGCATTCGTAAGAAAAATGTACAAATGCCACGCTACATTGGGTTTCCTTGTAATAATGATAAGGTAGTGCCAATTAGAATCGCAATTTTTTTTAGCAGAACCATTCGTGGAACAGCGCTGTACAATAGGACACGAGAATTAAAACGCTCTTATAGTTTTCGTTTTGTATTCCGCCCGACCCATCCACGTCGTTGGAACGAAAGCCTTTTAGCGCTTGCAACACTTCGCGGACTGAACACGTCGTCATCAAAGACATCCCGTTCTCATTCAAACCCGTACTAAAATACGTAGAGTGCATTGTTAGAAACTGCTATAGTTTGTAAAGTACATACGAGCGGATTTGTCAGTCACTAGAAATGTGGTAATAAAGCAAGCAGCCGATTTACTTTATTCAGCTTCCCTGGAAAAAAAATTCCTCTTACTGTTCCAAATCTCTCATGCTGGCCGGCATTGCTTTTCGAGCTATTTAGTATTTTTCAGGTATCATATAGCGTCAGTGTCTATTCTTGGACGAGCTAAGTAAATGGTACATTGAATAATGTCAGCTAGATTGTAAGCATTGTTTACTGATCACGCTTTGCACCAAAATTACCTCATGAACATTAGTCAGCAGCGTCCGGTCGAAGGCGTAAAAGTTGTCTCCTTGAGATAAGAAAAAACCGTCTGCACTTTTAGGTCAATTTCGACAGACACATCTCCTTGCTGACGTTCTGCCCGAGAAGGATAAGGATTCATCTTCTAACGTTTGTTCTCTATAGGCCAAAAAATCATTGATACCAAGCTTAGATTGACCGTCAAGTGGTGTTTCTCTATTAACATAGGCCGAAATACTGTCGTAAGATTCGAGGCGGCAGTGTAATTGTGCATTAAATTTCTGGCCATCACGATTGGTGACTCGTAGTGGGTTAAGAAGGTTTTAATTTTACTAACGAGCCTGTCTATCAATGACAAAATCAGTTCGTTATTCATAGAATTTACGTATACTATTGGGTCCGGAAAACCCACGTTATTCTCGACTAAATACATTAATAGAATAAGGCCGACTTAGTAGTTGCAGAAAACTAATACCCTGTTACTGTGACGGCCGGAACTTGCTCTTTTCTTGCAGGACGGTGTACAGATTAATAACCTTTAAGCTCCAAAGGGAGGTTGCTGAGGTCTTCATCAACACTATAAATATCGGCCGTATATAAGGTATTTGATACGAATAGTTTCAGGGTGTTGGAGTCCTGCGATTCCGTTATACAATCTTCAGTGCCTCGCTTGACCCTGCCTTCGTCCCCCTCCCCCCCCCCCTGTAAGCAAACATGGAATAGGCTAGTAATTGGACGTTGCCGAAGTTGGGTGAAGTCTCGTCTTCCGTGCGGTGAGTGCTTTGTTTCGGATATCTTCGATCGTTAGGGAATGAGCCAAGCAATCTACTCTTTGGGCATTGGTAGCTCGCACTGAAACCTACGGATGTTTTAATCATCCATTTGTGATGCCTGGCCCCACGCTGACTCAAAAAAAGCTTGCTTCTTAAAACTGACTTACAGCCTCCGTTGATTATCGCAGGGAAGACTAGCGTGGTGCACTGTCCCCTTTCACTGGGTACCTAGTGTCTTCTGTTGACAGTTCTTCCTTGCCAGTTTTTCTAATCCTCGTTTCTATAAGGCTTAAATTTTCCGGTAATGTTGTAAGCGATCCTCTGGCTACCTTTTTCTAGTAGCTGTATTATTTGTATGCCTAGTACCTAGTAGAAATTTACACAAATTTGGTAAATGATGCGCTCTGTTGAAAATGTAAATTATTATCTCAAATGGCACACATATCTTAAAGGGTTAGACTTTTTTTTTAAGAAGGTATTACTAATCACTTGCGCTGTTATTGTTACTTGTTTATAGAGGCGGTGTTAGCGCAAGGATCGCCAACCTATATTGATTACAAGGCAGCTGAAGCCGACCTACAAAAATGCATCAGAATAATTTTTCCCACTCTATATATACATATATTTTTTAATAGCTGAAGTGCTGAGCGCGCTTACCAGAAGGTAGAATATTGCAAACATAATGTCGGCCTATGCATATACATGTCGACGTAATGCAGACGAAACGTCAATGTAATGGTATCGTTACTATGTCTTCAGACACTGTGCTGACGGATTAGGACCCCCTAACGTTGTTGTCGTCTGGTGGATATCTTTTTGGAGGATGCGGTTTATGTGAAACTCGATCGAGCCGTATGCAAATTGCATCACTCTTGAGAGAAGACTAACGCTAGCTCTTGCTTGGCCTTACTTCGAAGTTTTTTAAAGCATCGGTAGTACGCTACGACAAAGCGTTCCAGGCAAATTGACTTTAGATTACGGAACAATTGCTATCATAGTGGTAGTCTTCTGAGCTCCAAACAGACGTTTACATAGGGAATCCCCCCCGTCGCTTTATGCGAGGTATGGGCAAAGGTAATTCACACGGATAGCGTTTATCCTCTTTTTATGCCTTTCTCTATCCTCATTTTACTTTCCATGAGACACGCTTTGAAGCAAAGCTGACCTATATCTTGTCAGTCAGTTTTCCTAGAATGTCCTTAGCTGACTAAACCCTAATAGAGTCCCGCAGTCGCAGTAGAGTGCAGGCATAGTCTCTACAAAGACAGCTGGTCTTGGTAGTCTGAAAGGGGCAATTGAAGCAGGGGAAATGGCACCGCCTTACAAACAGCCACCACTAGCACCAAAGTACCATCGCCACCGTCGGGCGTGACATCAAGTTGTCAAAAAGCTTTTAGAAGTTTTAAGTAAGGTTGGTAGCAGCCTGCTGGCAACTGGCCGTTGGACATCATTTGCTTTCTTACTGCACTTGCCGCACAGTGAAGGTAGCGTTACAATGATGGAGCTCTGGTGACGGTGGTAATACCGTGGGCGAAGCCATCGAGACTGCTTAAGAGCCTAACAGAGAGTGGAAGACCAGGTGTGCTGAAGTAGGGAGCAGTGCATCTGAAGAGTTCATAACTGACTCCAAGAAAAAGTTCGTCATAGGCGTTCAGCTCAGTTCAACTAGGTCAAGTCGAGGCCTCTCCGAACGTGTCTCCCGATAGTCGTTCGAATCACAGCGTAGAACTTACGATAAGACATGAAGGCAGGTGATTCCATCATCGGTGACACCTTGCCACCTATGAGCCATGCAACCCCAGTGTAAAATTTGCTGATCGAAGAGATACACATGGAGCTCGTGTAAGATGTCCAAAATATATGTGCTGTGTGGTGCATGCCATACGTAAACATACATGGGCGACGAGAATCGTTTAGAGCGGCTCTGACAAGGAGCTGTATAGACTAACGACCTTGCGAAATAACTATTTTTCCCCTGACAGAGTCCTGAAAAGCCAACACGTAAGCTTGAAAGAATGAGTCCTACAACTAACGTAGCGCTGTCAACATTTCGCCGGACTAAAGGCTGTTCTATCATACTAAACTAATTGAATCAGTAAGGCCAGCAATGGACATACCGTAACTACGTGTGGAGTAAGTTTGAAAAGCCACTATTTACACGAATCAGTTAAATGTAGACATGTACGAAATTTGCTATAGAAGAACAACGTAAACTCCAATGGCCGGTTGCCTGTTGTGAGCTGGATGTCCGAACGGTACCTGTATTCCTCAGCACGGCTAATACAGAATTGTCCTAATCAGACTGAATCGTAATGAATGACTAAAACGCCGAAGAACCGTTACAAACTACGGGTTTAATCTTAAAACATTGCCAGCCCCTAAATATCACACAGTGACTTTTCCATGCCAGTAACTCAGCGGCAATAGGAAATATCATATCCTGCGACTCATACAGTTCATGAGGTACTCTGCTGGGAGATAAGCAAGAATTTATTATGGTAAAAAAATGTATAAAATTACAACTATTGCGTGCTTGCTGTACACGCGGCATTCGTTATTGTATATAGGTCTAAAAAAGGTAGGTGGTTCAAATTGGGTCTTATTTATTTTTCAAGTTTTTTTTAAATTAATTTTTTATTAATTTTTTTAACTTAACATGGGCGTAGTTTGCTTTGAGCATAAATTAGATAACCATACTTTGCATGATCCCATTCAGTTAAATCAGAATCGAACTATACGATGGATAATTTTTTGGCCAGTGTTCGGTCTTGTTTCATTGTGACGACTTCTACATCTTTGCCATTTGTTTAATTCTTATTTTTTAAAATAAATATTAGGATTTCGGAATAATTTTGGGTTTTTGAAAACGTAAATCTAGGCAAAAATGACTTATTTTATTTGTCACAGGAAACATAGTTCGGGCTTTTACATGACAAGATCTTGCGCTGCTAGCTGTGTTTGCAGTAACGTTTACATATATTTCCAGCTGATCATTTCACTATTAAATGCCGTAGCTGAAATTCCTGATTTTTCTGGCAGTCTTACGATGATGATGAAAGCAAATACGTGGATAGAGAGACTCGAATACAGTGACTGATATGTTTTCATGTCCATGTTAACACTTCTATGAACAGTATTGTTTGCTTTAAGGAAGTTCTAACACAATATAGAATATATACTTAATCAATGAATTTTCGTACATGGATATTAGCATGTTGCCAGGTGCTTAGACAATAAAGGAGCAGTGTAACAGCTATAAGTTACATGCAATTACCTGCTTGTAACTTGAAGATCTAGAAAGCCTTATGGAGGGGTCCCCTAGCATTATTCTAACGTATCGATTGGTAGAGTCAAAGGAATTCTCAAGGAAACTATTTTTTTAATAAAACGATGAACCTTTTAAATGGATTTATCGTTCCCAAGCAAACATTCGGCAAGATAAGACATACACAGTATTGGTTGTATGAGTAACAACTGTCAAGCTCGTAAGTAATAATGGAACGCCAAAAAGAACTTCACATGCCTTTTCATGAATTCGGTCGTCGATCTCTGCACGCGCAAAGCTCGAGCAGCATCGGAACTAGCAATTCAATTAAATGCAGATTCACGCCGGCTTTCTGAGTGTCCGCCCCGTATGCTTATGAGAATATCGGGTATTCCTACCCGAGCTATGTCGAGCTGACGTGCTGGGCTTCTCTACGAGAAATTGCATATTTGCATAATTGCTTGTACTAACATAGCCATTAAAATGTCCTAATTATCGGTAAACTTGTTCTACTTACTTGAGAATCGGGTCCTCTATTATGACAGTCCATAACGAGAGCCGATCAAAATTCTATTCATTCAAGTTGCGAAAACTACTAAAATCTAGAACTTACTGATCTAATAGACGTGAACAACCAATGAAACCTGAACATTTCCGGGGTTCCGAAGAAAAAGATGGTGCAATAACGACAAAACTAAGATCTTTCATTTTAAGGCAACATCACCGAACCGGCCGTACACAATGCAACAGGCCTAACACAAATACACAATGACGATACGAGTATATTTTTCTAGCTTTCCATTCTAATCTTATCATAACTTAACTAAGTACGAAATAAAACTACGTATTTGGCACGGGCAGAGAGTACCGACTTTTACAAGGCTGCAACAATATCCGCTTGAAACGAACTCTTGACTAAATACTGACGTTAACGTGCCGTCTGCGTTGCCAATGGAAGCGACGTGAGTCGTAGATAGGGCGTACGTACTGCCAGGTTTGTACTCTTAGTGGCTGCTATATTCATCTTTCTTATACTCAACTTACTATACAGATCTTGAACTGCGACTATAGTTATTCATCTTTACCCACAACTAGCATATAGAAGCACGTTTCATGGAACACAACTATTTCTTTTTTTTTTTATTTATATATATATTAACTTTTTATATTCACTTTTGATAACTAACTATACGATGCAAATCGAACTAGAGCTTCCATTATTGTCACTCATTATTTTTGCCCCGCACCTACCATTTTGAATTATAAACGTTGACAGTCTGTATAATAACCTGCGGATGGTTTTAGTGATCTGCCAGTTTTATCGTTTAACAGAACTTTTCCCCAAGAAGCGACTGATTGTTCTCTGTGCAGGGTCCAGTACGACAACAACAAAATATTTTGTTTGGTCCATGCTTTCCTTAGGCAGACCTTTTATACAGACAACTCTAGATTTCGATAGAAAACCGTAGAACGTTATTTTTGTTCTGCAAAGAATGTCAAAATACGTCCTTGACACGCCAGCGCTTATAATTGGGTGCTTTACGTAAATGCAGCAACACGTACGTAAGGTCAATAGGCTAAGATATACTGTAAAATGATGTATGGTTAAATATCCGACCAATGTGACAATGACATTTAATCACTATGCCAGCGGCGCTCGAAATTAGGAGACATGTAGGCGTGTATGAGTCCTTGACACAAAAGTTAATGTATTGTAATATTTTTTTTACATGTATTAAACTTTCACATGCTATTATGTAGGATGATTTATACGAAAAAAATACGAGTTTTGCGTGCAGGCAAGAAGAATAGTTTATGTGCAATTCAAACTATCTGTAGGCACACAAACAGGGTTTGAAACAACATAATGGCTATAACGAAGCATAATGTGAAATGATATCCACATAAATAGCAAGTGATGCTACATTACGGCTATAATTACGCCCGAAAATATAGTTTCCTCAGTGAGCTGAACCTGGATTTTGCGCTTCTCTGCTGGGTTTCCAGGCTAATATATTGCCCCTTTAGTTTTGTTTTAGTGATCACACTGCTTGGGGATCCTCCCGCTTTCGATAGAGAAGTTTGACAAATGTATATCAAATGGCCATTTTTTAAACTATTAAGTCAAAGAATGCACCAAATATCGCCTGTTGTGCCACTAAGCTACTTTTCAATAAGCCAAAAATATGGTGATTGCTTACCACGTACAATCAAAAATGATTAAGTGTCAATTAAAGCGAGCGCGAAAATTCAAAATACGTCCAATGTTTAGCTATGCACGTTCGTCACGCATTTGAGCAGGTCCCCAAGATACAGAGCGCGAGCAAAGGAAACTCCAGCCCATGCTGTCTAGCCCCCGGCGACCTCAGGCGATTCTTATGAAACCCCCTTCAATACTCTTCGCACTCACCCGTGCTCAAAGACAACACTACATCCTACCATCAGTGCCGTCTTCGTATGTCCCACAGTCTCCTCCTAGCAACCTTGTCGCCCCTGGCACTAGGGCTTCCAATCTCTGTGATCCCCTGAAGCTTTTCTGATAACAGCGGTGATTGCCCAGCGCGCGCTGCTGTTGCCCACTCACCGCCGATGGATGATTCGCTGGTTCGTGTCGACGTTTTCTCTCGACTCTACCTCAATCACCCCTCCCTGGTTCGTATCGTTAAAACGAAAGCAGAAAGAGCCATCTATTGTAATACTAGCACCAAGCAGGCTTACTAGTCTGTTTCATAAACTCTTTCGCACTCTCTCCCAGTGTTATGCGATCATCTCTCGGATTTTCTCGAAGGATTTCATATATCCTGCGATCGCGCTTTTATTGAAACTTTGCATATAAGCATAAAAAATGATTGAAAGTTACGCTTATATATATATATAATAAAACGAATAAAAACGACTTTTTAGAAATTTAACAAAGGGATAATTGTTTTGTCATTGTGACGTGGCTGTAGGGTAAATAAATATGGATTGTCAACAAAAATCGACGCTTCTCGAGCTCGAGAATTAAAAATGAGGGTTCCGACTTTCCGAGTATGTCAAGCGATTTGTAAAACTTCAGTGATGTCAAACGCTTTCTAAGTGCACGATGTTTCAGTAAAAGAAAAAAATTGGGCTAAATTGGTCTAATTAGAACGTAATCGGGAAGAAGTACTCTGTTGTATGAAACCTAACGTAAAAACTTATCCAGCTGTGTTGCAGAAATAACATGGGTTATGCGTGTGATGCCTAATTTTGTCTTCGTTGTTCTTATAGGGATTAGGACCTAGTTTTAGAGCTTTAGATTTAACTAGTTTTACTACTATTTCAAACCGATGTACACCATCATGTGCACTGTGTTACTCTAGCCTATTAGGTTTGAACATGTGTAATGTGACTTTTCCAGCCGACAGAAAGCGCTGTATTTCATTTAAATTTTAACGACAACTTTTTACGACTTTTTAATCCCTCGCCCAGTTTTTCTATTCTCTCAAGTAGAAATCCCCAGATCTAGTGCTAAATAATATTTTTTAAGATCCTCTTCACTATGAAGTATACTGATACGAACTTCGCTTTTCAGTAACCTAAAAATTGAAAAATGAGGACACGAACGGGACAAAGACCGCGAACCGGGCGAACAAGTTACAACTTCATTACAGACTGGGGCAGCATGTATTGTTACCAAACGATTTCAGCAGAACGCCATGGTTAACAACTCAGCCCATTTTATGACGCATTTTATGGCAAGCGTTACCTCTTTCTGTATACTGAGATGGACACAACGATTGTTTCAGATTGAAACATCCCGTAAAAACAATCGATCTACTTGAAACCATGTTACCACGCTGACTGATCTCGCGGAGGTGTCATCAAGTGGCCGGCTTGAGCCGTGATTTCGCCATTCTCGATTTTTTTTGCAGATCTGTATGAAGGATGGCGTGCATCAAACAGCGCAGAAAATAATCTACGACCTGAAAGACCATGTTCATGAAGCGATTTCTAAAATTTACGCTGAGTCTTGCGATCTAAAATTGCGCTAAATAGATCTGGGTGTGGAAGCAGTGATTGAGAGAACATTTGAGTGTATATATTATTTTCCCTCTTATTTATATTATATATTGCCCTCCCTATTATATTAAACTCCCTAGGGTAAATAAGCATGAGAATAGAAACACGGATAAAAACTCGCATTCGTTTTCCATTCCAAGGACATGGAAGCAGACCAGAAACGTCTTCATTAACACGACCATCTAAAACAGTGATGGCTGTCAACCTAACAATAACCGACGAAAAAACTTGTATGTAATGGCACCGCATAAAAACTAAGTATTCTTCTCGAATAGTTATAATAGTAACATTTAAAATATTATGACCCCCTTTTTGAATATTTCAGCGTAAAATATGGTTTGCTTTCGTCTCGTTTTGGTAATGATTGCCTGTGGTACCAGAGTTTATAAGTGCATGTTATACGAGCCTTAAAGATGTTCCTCAGTTCTTAAAAAAGCTATTATATGACCGTCTATAATAGCTAAAGCTACGTTGTACTTGTTTGCCCCACAGCGCACAAAAATGGCCTACTTTACCATAAAATTTTGTGAAACTAATTGTTCGATAACTCGGACCTGCAAAGTGAATTGCAAACATGTTATTATAGTAAAAACTTTTTAGCCAAGACGCGCTATTTCTCATTGAAGCTCATCAGAATACACAGAGAAATGAGAGGAACGAACCAACGACAACAATTAAGCGCTGCCTTAGGGTTCAAACGTAAATCGAAAGAGCAGGTGTGGTCCAAAAAACAATTACGCATCTTCCTGAATTTGTGTTTGTTGGCTTCATAAGAACGACAATACAAAATGTGGTGCATCTGATTCATACGTCCGAATTGACAAATAATAACAAAGGATTTGTGAAAGAGGAAAAGAAGAATGGCTACAGGTACAACTTCTATGGTGGTCATTTCTCTTGAAAAACTTCCCTGAATCAGCACTAGTAGTATAACACGCTTCGTTCTGGAAGTTTGTTAAGGGGTTTGGAATAGATCCTCTAAACAACAATGGCGTTTTTTTCCAACGTGCTAAAAATCATTAAACATTTTGCGACCACTTTGCGGGATTGAATATGCTGAAGTTCGAATCCTAGGATACATGCACTCCTTGCCGTCTAGTTAGTGAAAGCCTGAGTTGAGATTGGAGAACCATGTCAAGTGAGCATGAAATAACGAACCTTAAGCAAGGTGCCCGTGTAGTCTGACATGTGGTTCTCAGTGCATATATGCATGCCCGCGTGCGTCTATGGAACTTAATCCCAAAAACGGGATTATCATAACAACATGATGACGATGATGACAGTGGAGGTGAGCTCGGAGACAGCAACGAGCAGGATTAGGAGTCGTGTTTGTTGACTTCAACTTTCTCAACAGTAGACAGTTCAGACCTTTGCGTGACAAGCTCGTTGGCTGACACGCCTAAAGGGCACGTGTACACTTATCAACAAGCTGACGTGATAGACAAGTTTACGAACTTGGCATCCGGACTACGTATGCGATTGAAATGATAAAAATATCGACCAAAGTGGGAAAATGAAGATCCACGCTTGTTTTCATTTTGATTCGAAAAGTTACGTCTCGCAATCCGTTGGCTTCCTTCAAAGTGTCGACGACGAAATTAGTCGCAGGAAAAACTCGGCTCTGTCGGAATTATTAAGCCTTCTTAGACGTTTTTCAGAGAAAGCGCCACTATTTAATATGATCTCATGTGTGAAAATAAAGAACTCCTAGAACGTCATAGTTTATCGGTCGTCTATTTGTGGAACAGCTGCCCTGGTCTGCTTTAATAATTATCGCTGTTTTATGTAATAATAATGATTATAATCATATACATAAGACTATAAACTGTTGTGGCATGTTTGTTTAAAATCAAGTCAAGCCATGTGAAGATTATAAGTTAAATTTAATTTAATTGATAATAATAAAAAAGTTGATTTATGAAATAATGGTTATAATTTTAAGAAGTAATTTTTGCCATAATAGGGTCAAATATCCCTATCAAGCCATCCAAATAAGGGTTCTAAATATAAGCTTATCCTTATCAGACAATTATTGTTAACTTAACTCGAAACTGTTTTCTAGCTGGGCGGTGGCTACTCTAATGTTTCAAATGTATTCTTATAAGCGAAGTGATTTCATTATTTAAACTATCTGTAGAGCCAGAAAATACATGTAATAGCATTTTAGCTGAACTGTTTTGCTGACGACGAGAGTGAAACGTCTTAGTACAATTGTATTTTCAAGGATTTTTAATAAATCACTGCTCGTAGACAACAATTGAATTTTTGCTTTTTCTATAAACAGCCTTTCTTTTGAAAACAAAGCTGAAAAACCGCTATTTTCACCGCTGGATGGTTAAAGGACTACAACTAGTTTTAAACTTGCAACCACGCTGTCATAATCTCAATATATTTTCCGGCATAGTTAATTTTTGAACTATTTATTACATTTTTAAGCCAAGCAAGCCATATTGGATCCTATCAGTGAGTCAAACTGATCTCAAATACGAACGCCGATCAGTTTTGAAGAAGTTTCACAGGGAAAAGTAAACCAGGTCGTTTGTGTCGAGGAAGGCGGAGCGCCGGCCGGCGCTTCAGTGAGAGCTTCACTGAAGAGCTTTCTTCAGTGTAACTGGCAGATTTTTTGACCGTACTTCTTCAAGAAGAAATGTTCTAGATTTCGTGAAAAGAAGGTGACGTGAATAGGGAGTCCGATTGACTGAATAATATATTGTTTTTTGATTGAGAATACCAAAAACGAACCATAGCTGAATACAGTGTCGATAAGCTTAAAGGAGTGATACTCACAAATGATTAGATTCTGACTTAAATTGTACAATATTGTGCCATCTTTCCGTCAGACGCTGGTGTTCACCTTGTGTTTTTCGTTTTTAAGGCCACCCTTTCTATGCCTGAAACTGTAAACTGTCATGTTCTCACCTTGTGGGTTTGTCGCTATTAGACTTGGATGTTGAGACAACAAACTAGCCATGGTGTTGTACAATAGACATTCAAGTTACTAAAAATGCTTCAAGCCAATGTGACGGAAATAAGATGACTCAGACAATGGTACGTCGGACAGCTGTATATTGCGATTTCAGTGAGAACCTTAGATCTGTTATGACTGAACGTCAGCGCCCTCTCAACGTCGTTTTGTAATTTCTCCAAAAAATATTAACCTAGCGACTGAATAGACGGCTGCAAGTTTTTTTTTTCTGGCTTCCTACTATTCCATGTCGAAAGGCTAACCAATTAAAATTCATCACAGTATGCACTACTTGGGTGGACATCAGCGCTTTATGTTCAAGGGGACAAGAGTGAGTGCTAACGAGTAGGTTCATCTTGGCGTTAAGGCAAGGCGTTTCTAAGTAAGCGTTGCTCCTCTGTCGAAGTTTTCTCAGTCTCTTTTCCTTTGTGTTGTTTCATCTGTACTAGTGCGCGTACGCTTTTCTTCTGCTAGTATATACTTGCAGGTAATTGCAAAATATGTTTACGTAAAGCTCAATTTCGTTTTTAAAACGTCACCCAGCTACGACTATATATAGACAATGCAAATTTGGAATAGTTTCATCCAGGACTCTGCGGCACTCATATGCACAATATGCAGCTTCTGCAGTACCCGGATCAAATGAGAGTGCAGGAAATGATTGCGAAGTCAAGTTTAGGTGTGTATACATGCCTGTACCGGTCTGGCGAGATTATTTCGAAAAGTGTAATACGGTAGGTGGTCGTCGGCGAGAAGGACTTTCATTTTATGCGTTGTTCTGGCTTACTCGGTCGGCCAATCGCTCAGCGGGTCGGATCTGTCAGGCACTCTTTTATAGAGATTCGCCCTTTTGGAGAGACCTCCGACGATTGCTCAGTCCCACCAGGTAATTTATCGTGGATTTCGCGCTAGATTTGGGCCTCACGCGCCTCTCCTCCCGTGATCCGCTATAGTGGAGTGTCGCTCCTACGATTTTGGGCTGCCACCGCCGCGGCCGCCGTCGCTGAATTCTCAGAGCTTGATCCTCGAGCCAACACAGGACAGTCTATCGGCCGATCCTTCTCAAAGTCGTTATTCTCAAACGCCACCGCTGCACGTGTCACAGTGGTTAATCTTTTTATTAAAACACGCCCGGTTAACGGCAGCAGGTCACGAGCTAGATCAACCACCCCCAACTTTGCGAATCAAGTTACTGCGAAATAGCCTTTGCGAAGCTGTAAAAGACTAAGAAGAAATCAAATCTAAACGAGCCGCTTAAAGACACGAGTGATTTGACGACTGTTATGATACACACTGACTTGAAATTGCTGTGAGCGTTAACAAAGCCATTATACCGTTGTTGGAAACTCGCCTGTCGGCATAAAACCTGCAAATGTAGTTATCGCAATGAGCCGTTTTTAGGCTTACTTTTAAGTGGCTTACTTGATTGTAGAATGCGTTTTTCGGTCCTATTCTAAAAAAGATGTAGTCAACATTGTTATATAGAGACGTTGATTCTGCTACTTTCCCAGTACAACAAATGCGTAACTTGGCAAAGAGCTTGCAAATACCGTGTTACCCTGTCGCTAACCTGTCAACCAGCTAATATTTAATACCTACATTTGGCCTTGTGTTATATATATAGGCTAATGAGGATCCGGCATAATAGAAATCTAGAAAGAAAAGCCTTTATATTTCCTAGCCTATCCTAAAATGTGTTCCTTTTTTCTTTTTTTTCAAAGTATAGCATGCATCTAGCATTTCGAGAATAGTAACTTAACAGGCCATTTTGTTCTAAGTAGTTAATTCGTTTTTCGACGACAAATATCAAAAATAATATGCTGTGAGTAAACAGCAAAGGGGTTCTATCGGAGGGTAGGCGGATCACGGTTACTCTGAGAATCGGCACTGTTCGCCTTAATACTTGAAACGGATCACCTCAAGCTGCCACCAATTCTGTCAGAGTTCGTGGCTTAAAACCATCATTTAGGCTAGAGCTAAGAATAACTGTTTGGAATTCGTCAAAGCTTAATAAGGTAAACGGGATTTTAGCGGA